ATATACTACAGCGCGCCGCAGGCAAAATGTTTCATCAGGTAACCAAAGCCAAATAGAAAGTAATACCTTGGAAAATAACCCATTGTTGAATTTCTCAAAGTGGGCCGAAATGCTGGGCGCTCGACTCGAGGAGCTCATATTTACCGAACGTTTGCAATTCGAGTCGGTCAATGCCACTTTTCCCGATCCGGATCGCCAACGCGAGCTGCTGCAACAAGATGAAGAAGAGGACTTTCTAGATGAGGCTTCCGTAAATCCGCATGGTAATGATTGCCCACATGCGTTGAAATTAATTGCATGTGTGCTGCTCTACGAAATCACTGCTTTTCTGCGAGACACTTATGTCTTACTGCCCAAAGCATCGAAGCTGCTACATCGCGAGAAACACGCACCTTGGGAGAAGGTATATCGCGAGGCAAATCGTCGTTGGTCCATGGCATTGAGCTCGATGGGTCATTCGCAGACATCGGCGCAAAGTTTACAGTCCATTGCTGCCGGTAATGACACCACGGGTAGGCATTACATCGAATTTGCTGTTTGGTAAACTAATTTGTAAAATGTATATGTCCTACAACTTCTTGTAGGCGGTCAAACTGAGCGAAAGATATCGTTTGTGCTGCACGAACCCGACAATGAGTCAGAAAATAGTAGCAACACTACGCTAACGAAAGAAGGTGAAGAAGGTAGTGGTATATGTATGTTGTACTGAAATTCATGCTTGGAACATTTTTGTCATTTTTTTTCTATTCGCTCTTTAAGCTCGTCGGCCAGCCGCTTCAGCCGTGCGACCATTCCTTTTGCGCCGTGGTACAGCCACTACCACGGGTGGTTCCTTCAAGCGTCGCTCATTGAAGCTGCGACGTAATACTAAGGATGGCAAAGATCTAGAAACCGACTGTGAGTTAATTTTTTTCTGTTTTTTATTTACGGACTAAAAAGTTTTATATAAATGACTACACGCATTAGACCGCCGAGCTGATCACGCGGTATCTTAAAAAAAAAAAATTCCTCAAAATAGATGAAATTTTATTCCCACTTACAAAAAAAAAAACGTGGACTTAAACACCTGCCTGATAACCATTGTGACCAGATAATCAAAAAAAAAAATAAGCTAAATTGTCTTTAAAAATACGGTTAGAAAAATAGAGAGGCAGTGAAAAAATGAGCCCCTTCGAAATTTTAAGAATTTACCATTGCATTTCATTTAGTATTTTATCTTGGCTTCCCCAAATTTCAAAAATTTATCTCATTTTAAAATTTCTGTGCACATACTTAAAAAATGGAAACTTCTCATAAACAGGAAACATAAAAAAAAAACAGAAAAAAGCCACGAAGTAAGACCTCAAATCCCGAGACTAGAACAAAAATATAAGTTCTAAATTTAACCTCAAAAAGGACTAACCTGGTCACACTGCTGACAACATTCCCAGGTAGTTCTCGAGCTTAGTATGATCTCATGGAAAAAGCAGATNCTAATCATCTGCGCGCACCCCGCTAAGTATTACCAAAAACGCCTATCAGAAAACCTACAGACGAATGTGTCACACTTCAGCCAGAAGTCTCCATTCTGGTATATTTGAGTGAGGGTTCTTGAAGAAAACTTATCAACTTATCAAAGCAGGCATGCATGAGTTTTGCTTAGGATTATTTCAGCTAGACTGAAAATTGTCGCAAAAATGACCGAGAAAACTTCAGGGGCTTCGCTGGGTGTGGAGAGAAAGACATTCGTGGTAAGAACACTTTCAATTTTCCTGTTTGACGTGTTTCTGCACAGCGTCCATCACTATACTGTACCTCCGAAGAAAAGAAAGGGTCCTACGTCAGCTACCTACACTTCTAATAAAATCCGTTTACCATTCGGAGACGGCGTAAAACTGTTGGTTCCTCCATTTGTATAACAACATCACCGAATGTGTCAACTGTACGTCCACCTTGACCCACTAACCTAACTAACCTTACGTCGAAGAACGAGGTGTTATCAGGGCATAATTTTCTATTCATAATCATTAGCCGTTACTTTCCTTCATTTTCGCTTTTCCTAGAATTTCAAAGACAATTTCTTCTATTTTCCAGTCAAACGCGTCGACTCCATACAGTCGCGTCGCAAAGTGTCATCGCTCTCCGATCGCAGCGATACTTCGGAACAAGGAATGGTCAGTGGTGAAGAATCGCCAGGAATACTAAGCGACGATCAACAACCAGAATCCCCCACAGACTCCAACGAAACAGATGACACGGCCAAAAATATGCCTTGGCTTAAAGCAGTTATCGATCTTATTACTAGCTACAACTACTATTGTCCACACAAGGGCTATTGTCATCCGTACTGCTACAAGAGACATATGCGCGCCTGTACGCGTTTGATAAAGGCCACCCGAAAGGTAAAAAAAACACATAAAATAAAACATATTAAGTCAAGGAAGTCTACCCATTTATGTATGCAGATCTACGGCGAAGAATTCGGT